AAATCGTCTCTCAAAGAATTTTCATATGATAATAAATTTGAGTATGGTTTATTTGCCAGAAATGTGAAAAAATCATAAAAACTTAAAAAAAGACCAAATATTGACGTTACGACAAAATTTTTGAGAAATGGTATCTTAGAATGAATATGTACCCTTCTTACGAAGGTGAAGGGTATAAAAATATTAAAAAAGCAATCATATTCCTTTTCGTTACGTGCAAAACTAGGTATACGCGAGTTATTTTAAAACTAACAGTTTGAGAGATAGGGCCTAGTATTTAAGTATAAATACTATTTCAAAGAATTGTGATATTTGGTTCGTTCTACGTGGTCGAGATTTTAAATTATAATTTCAACAATATATCTTATGAAAATAGTTTGTATATAGAACTACATATTTTACATAATTTTAAGGAATATTACTACTTTTCATCTTAGAAAATTAATTAGGAAATAGGACCTTCCCCGAATTTATTTTGCATAGTAATTGTTGACAGACTTACTATTTATAGAAGTCCCCACAGGCCCTAAAAATTAAATGATTAAACCATATGAATATGTAGAAATTAGAAAGTTTCAAATAACAATAACATTCACCCTTATTATGTATGTCGTAGTCGAAAATCGACAATCGTCGTAGTCGAATTTAAATTTTATTGGTATTATGTATCAAATTCGACATGAGTATTTTTTTGTAGTAGATTATTTTGAAAACTTTTATATAATTTACTTTATTGAAAATTTTAAGTATTGCGGAATATTTCTTTTATGAAAAAAAGAGAAAATACATAGTAAAAATCGCCTCGATATTCAGTATTTTTATTAGTTTTTTGACCTTTATATATTATATTAGCACATTGAAAATTATTTCGAATTTTCGAACTTAATTTCGAATATTCGAACATTATATTATATGTTCCTCTGGTGTACTCATAACATCCAAATTTCAGCAAATTTGAGCTACGGGAACTGATGCCAATAGCTTTGAAAGTTTTTGTCACCAGTACAATACACATCGACACTTTCTGTCGAATTTTCCATTAAAATACGACATACATAGTACCATTTTTAATAATAGATTTTTAACTTACCCTGCAGGAAATGGAACTATGTAGTACCAAAATCACCAGTACTAGTTCCCAAGTCGCCATAATTGGTGGTTTTGCTCTTTTGCAATCCTACTGCACAATTCCAAGTGAAAATTACTACACAACTAGTTTTTTATACGGATTTATTTCTAAAGATAGCAACAAAAAAAAAAAATATTTAAAAATTTACCTAACATTTAAAAACACATTTACCTAACAATTCAATATGAAAGTTTGAAGAAATTCTGGTTCTATTCGTATCACCAAGTTGATATCGTTATAAAAACATTTGCCGTACGATAAAACAAATATTAAACTTATTGCAGTTTTTAAATTTAATAGACGTACTTACATAGAGATTTGCTTGCAACCGGACCTAAATTTGCATGCACTATTTATTCTCTCATTTGAAGGGATATGTTTAAAAATATCGTTTTTATGCAAAATGTTTCAAAATTATATTTTAATAATTTAAAAAATTAATTTTTTCCAGCACATGTCAAACAAAACTCAGTGGCGCCATTCAACTACTCCTAGTACTAGTATTTTTCCATATAAACTCTAACCCAATTTGTACTAGTGTCTGTTGTTCTAGTAATAGTACTCGTGGCATTAAGACAATTATCGCTTTATTTCCTGCTTATATTTCTGAAGAAAATCGACATATGTAATACCATTTTGAAAATTCGAGAGAAAATCGACGTGACTTCGACTTACATAATAAGGGTGATTATTATTAAGATATAGTTGTATCAAACAAATGGACTACATATCGTCACCTGAAACGCAAACGGCCCTAACTAACCAAAAATTCAATATCGATTTTATTGTTGATTCTAATGTATTGCATCAAAACAAATTTCCACACCAAAAATTTGCCACCTCCGACCAAAATAATCGATTTTTTTTACAAAAAACAAAAGGCCCTATCTACAATAACATTTAAATATTGAAGGTAAAAATTCCAATTTATCCATTTTTATATACGCCATTATCAACTTACTACAAATAAATCGCGTTGATAGAAACAAACTTTTTAATTTATATAGATTTTGGCTTCTCCTGTAAAACATTAAAAATGTTAGATAGGGCCGTTTGCGTAATGCAGGTGATATAATTGAATGAATGATTAAAAAGTAACCCAGCAGAAAATTTTTGAAGTTGTTGGAGAAGAAGGGATTGATAATATTTAACTATAATTTGGTATTCTCTTAGGGTTAAAAGGAAACGAAGGAAACAAAGGTCGGAAAAATATGAGAATGTCAAAAGTTTTGTATTGAAATATTTTTAAAATATAAAATTATTAACGTGAACTTTTTATTTGTCTTACATTGCCGATACTTTTCGTTAACTAATGATTTTGTTTAACGAAAAAAAAAAACGGTGAAATAAAATTCAGAATACCACATAACGACAATTATTGTTAACTTACGAATTTATACTATTTAACGAAAAAAATTTGTAGTTAAAAAGTTACTGAATTGTACAGATCTGCTTGCTTTGTGAAATCGTAATGTTTTATGAGTTATTACAAAGGATTATATAAAAAAATGCACCGAAGATAGATATTGAAGATTACAAAATTTTGGACTTTTAAAGGCCATATTCTTACTATTAATTAGGCGAAAAAAGTGATGTAACGATTTTCCTGCTCTACCATTTATTTAACTGCACCTTGCTCAAGGAAATGAGGGGGGGGGGGGTGAATTTTGAAATCAGGATTTCAAAATTCTTTTCTATTTTAAAGAAAAACATTTTTTTATTTTTGCATAACATTTGATTATTCTTTCCTCAATTTTCGGAATTTATTTTTCCCAAAACTTGCGAAGTTAGAAGTTAGGTTATAAGTTCCTTACATTTTTCTTTTCCCGATAAAATTTATTAATTTATTTTCAAACCAGTTCATTCAATATATTTTTCTTTTCTTAAGGAAACCATTAAAAGTTCCTGACAATGCTATTCCAACCTTTACAGACACCTTTACATAAAATTGTTTTCCTTCATCGTATACTTTTCTAACAAGCCTCCGCTAGAAATTTTCCATCATATTAAAACCCGGATAATATGGAGAACAATTTAAAATGTATACAGCTTGTTCACGAAATCACTGTATTACAATTTTCGGTAGGTCCACAGTATGGGTAGAAAAGACTTTTCAAATTGTGGAAACGAGACTCGTTAATATTTTCTTTTACGAATTCGATAGTGCCATAATAAGATATATATAGCTTTAATTCTTTCTAAAGTAACTGTATACAATTGGCTGTTCACTTTTTAGTTATTCCTGATATTTAGGTGGCATTTAGTTCACTGAATTTTAAAATTATTCTTTCTCCTTTTCCGGAAGTTTTAAGAGCTTTCTCCTGTCTCCTTTTTTAAAAATTTAAAATACTACTGTTTAATATTTACGACCTTATAAGATTAATCGATGTGAATTACCAGATTCCGTCTAGTTTCTTTAAAACAAAAATACTTATTTTATTGTATGTAAAGAGAAATAAACTAAATTTCTATAGAAGAAATAAAACAATCCGATCACTTGTTCCACCTAATTAATAGTAAGAATATGGTCTTTAAAAGTCCACAATTTTATAATATTCCAATATTTAGTTTACAAGGTATTTTCGTTAAAAAGTTGACAATATTGAAGTGATTCACAGTGTATAAAATAAATTTAAGCCCAATTTGTAAAATACTTGAAATAACGAATATGCATAAGGGCGCAAGTGCAATTGGAATGTTTTTATATTTCCAAGATTATTTCCTTTTATAGCAAATTTACTTTTAAGTCATCTATCAATAAGTTAAAAGTATAATAACACACATACATACATATTTATTTCCATATGTACATATGTATGTATTTATATAAAAACTAAATACATGTGTGCACTTATTCTTTTAAACAATTAAAACACTTTTATTTCTGCATTTACGATTTATTGATTCTTTTTCAAATTACGTTTACATTAATATTTATTATAGATCTATCTACATTATAGTATAAAATAAAATAAAATATAAAAGTACTCATGCTATATTTTTTTAAGCAAAAAAAAAACTGTTAAAAGTTTATTGAAAATGGAAACTTACATTTAATTAATTTACTTAAGATACAATACTACAAAAATAACAAAAAAAAAAAAAAAAATATTTTACTTAATATTTTTCTGTATAATGACCCATTTAGACCAAACGAAATTAATTAACTTGGAGATTTCGATCGAAATATACACGAAATTAGTTATTTCCAATAAATTTTGTTAATTTGAAATCAAGTAATTTTGCTTACCCATCTAAGAATGATTATATATAGATTCATATGAATGAAGCATATATTTTCATATATGTTCATATCCAATTTGGGGAAATTGGGCATAATCTCCATATATTTCCATTCATATCCATATATGGACAAATTTTTATATATGATTCCATATATGACATGATCATATGTCGGCAGCATTTCGATATGAAAATATACGTATGTATATGGTCATTGATAAATTGTTATGAATAAGGCTTTAATGTTTAAAATACAACAAAATTTTATGTAAAATAATGTTTTCTCGTGTAAGCAGAATCCAAATAAGTATCAAATACTCCGGTCTGAACAGTTAAGATTTCGATTTTCGATCGAATCTTTAAATTTTACCTAAAAATTGGATTTATTGCAAATTTGTATACAATGTTAGAAAACAGGTATACCCCAGGAAAATTAGGCAAAAAATGAACAACTAACAATTTATACAAAGGTGCAAGAATTATATTTATTTTGCATTTTTAATTTTATATACATTTATAAGAAAACCTTAGTATTTAATTTATAAGTTTCGGTTAAACGGTTTTCTAGAAATCGTACCGAGTTTTTTATAAGCATTCTTAGTTAATAACAACTATTTTTTCTTTTCAGAAACCGACGACTGTACAATTTTTTCAAAGACGTTAATACTACTGTACTCAGTAAACAGTACATCGTATTAAGAAAGAAACGTTAAACTAAATAATTAATTTGCGACTTTGAAACATCAAAATTTAATCATTTCATATATTTGTTAAGTAAAATAATCAAATTTAAACGAATTATTTGAAATTTTGATTTTCAAAGTGTAAATATTTAACTGATTTTTTCACTCTCTTGGAGTATTAGCTCCGAACGAGGGTTTTGAAAAAATCAATAGAGAGGTAAACAAGGATAAAGACATGTCAGCAGATTCACCTAGGCGTTCTTCTGGTAATGCCAGTCGTGGTATGATGGCGGTTCCTGCTATAGTACCACCACAGGTTGTTAGTGATCGATCAATTTTGGATTCAGCTATTGGCTTTATTAATGAAGTCACTTTAGCCCAGCAGCCTCCAATAGATCCGAAAGATACTATAACTTGGGCAAGATTTGAAACAGCTGCTGATATAAGCGACCCACGTTTTGGAGATGATTGGGAATTAGAAGGTAATGTTGCGCCTCCACTTCTATTAATACTGGGGTATGGTTTGGGTGTTCAAGTTTGGGCAATACCAGCGAATGGTGAAGCCGTTGAAGTACTTTCTTGGCGACATGGCATAGTGTCGGCTCTAAGAGTTCTTCCAACTCCGGTTTCAACAGTAGCTGTAGAAGAAAATGGTCGTGCTGATGAACCCATTGATGCATTTGGAGAGAAAAGGCCTTTAATTGCTTTAGTAGATGGAAGCTCAACGTCGGGATCTCAACCACAGTTCTGTGCAGTTAATTTTATATCTCTTAAAACTGCCGCGCAGGTGAAAACTATTAAGTTTAAAAATCCAGTTATTGATATATTGGCTAATCGTTCGTCGGTAGTTATTACTTTTCATGAACGTATTGCCGTTTTTGATGCCCGTACTTTGGAGGATCGCTTATCGATTACAACATGCTATCCCAGTCCAGGGTAGGTTCCGAACAATTAAAAATAGTTTTAATAAACAAGTTAATATTTGTAAATAGTTCATTATTTTATTTATTATTTTTTTATTATCCATTCATTCAGTAAGATAAATCCACAATGCCAAAATAACAATATTACATTGTAAAATATCATTGTTCAACAAAATGTACACAAATAATCACAAAAATAAGTATGCAGAAATACGGTCAGAAAAAACAGAAAAGTAACACAATTATTTATTAAAATCAATTATGTTAATTATTATTTACAACTTTTTTCTGGATATTTTGGTTATTCGAGTTCTCATTAAAGGAGAAGTTAAATAGGTGCAAAATTTAAATAACAAAAGTAAGTATACAGATTATTTCATTATGTCTTTAATATAATGATATTAACAAAATTTATAAAATTATTATTACCTTCTAATAAAATAACATGAAAATAATCCTCTTTTTGGGTACAATTTTTCCCTCTTCTGGCCTTTTTGTTATATAAACCCGCGGAGTTTTGGATCGGATGTTCAATAATCTCCCTTGTTTGATCTTATAAAGCATTAGCTGATGATATTTTAACTTTTAAAGAAATTATATCTTTATAATAACTGCAATAAATTTTAAACAATATATAGCTTTCATATTAGATATGTATTTAACAGCGATTTCCTAAAATGTATTTCTTAAAATGCGAAATTAATAATATTTGTTCTAGTATCCATTAATTAAAACAAGTTTTTTGATTCCATTCGTCCATTGCACACTGCAATACTACCAATATTCTTCAGATGGTGACAATGTCAATAACTTACTCTACATACCGGTTCAGAAATTGGTTCTTGTCCAAAATAATAAGTTTTTCATATTAAATCAGGCTCAATTAGTGGTATAAATACGAATTAAATAAATTTGAACAGAAATGCGTTATAATTTGTTACTAGAACAAATAAAATGTTCGATCCGTTATTGTTCAAGGTTATTGTCTCGAGTATATCAAGATATGATTGATAGCATAATTTTATATTTTGGAAATCGAAGGATTTGGAAAACCTGATTAAATTGAAGAAATTATACACAATAATCCACATTTTCAATAATATAATGTAAGTTTTAACAAATCGGAATTAAATGTACTATTAATTGCAAAATAATAACTCTTTCTCAAAGTTAAAAATTCAACTTCTAATGCATCATTCAGAAGACCGACCTTATGACCAGATCCAAAACTAGGGGTCTAAAGTGGAAAAAATTCGAATAGAATGGGGAGAAACAGTTCTAAAAATTACACTAGTTTACAACGATTTTGCTCATAATATAAAACCTATATGTATTTCTTTATTTTGGCCGTCTAAGTCCAGAAAAAATATTTAAAAAAATCTAGGACGTCAAATTTTTGAATTTTTCATAAAGAAAGAAAATGCTAAAAAAGAGTTAAATTAGGAGGAAAAAATTAACTATTTAGGGATGCATTTATTTTTTATACAAATAATTTTACTGGTCTTCCTCACAACTCTCTAACAATGGATTCCTGTCACAAAAATATTAAAAATTACGTTGCAATAATCTTAAATCTTGGTGAATAGACGCCATTTTTATCACTCACACTTCCAAGAGTTTTTCGGAAAAAGTATAAGTGGGAATGTAAGAAATGAACTATGAGGGATAAATTCAGATGCGTAATTTTGTAATTCCGGAACAAAATGCCAATAATTTTAGACGTAATTTTTATATTATTGATTTTTTTCTGAGTTGATGGTTAGATTCCCAAAACAGGTGCAAGCACCCAAAAATCAATTCTCATTTTCAAATATTTTTCCATCACTACTGAAGAAGGATGCTTAACAAAAACCACTTTATCTCAAAATTTCGACGTATAGGAAAAAAATAAAAATTGTTAATTAACCACCGGACATAGCCCTTTCCAAAAATATATGTTTCATTCCATGATCAAACAAAAAATATTAATTTGTAAACTTGTGTTATTTTTTGGAGTCAATTGAGCCAAATTTAAAGTTTCCCGAATAAAAAGTGGATAATTTCCAAGTTATTGTGTGAAAAATATTTTGAATTTTGTTAATGCCATTAAATCAAAAACATATTGAAATGATATGTATACTTACTTTTGTTATGTAAATTTTGCACCTACATATTTAACTTCTCCTTTAATCGAATAACCAAAATTGTGTTACTTTTTATTTTTTTTTTGAGAAAATAATATCCCTTTTAAGTAAAACAAGAATCAATATTTCCGTTGATATTTGTGAGTAACTGTAAGTTGTTTTGCTTGCTTTTGTCTTAATACATAAAAACATACGTACATATATATATACATACATACATGCATACATACATACATACATACATACATACATACATACATACATACATACATACATACATACATACATACATACATACATACATACATACATACATACATACATACATACATACATACATACATACATACATACATACATACATACATACATACATACATACATACATACATACATACATACATACATACATACATACATACATACATACATACATACATACATACATACATACATACATACATACATACATACATACATACATACATACATACATACATACATACATACATACATACATACATACATACATACATACATACATACATACATACATACATACATACATACATACATACATACATACATACATACATACATACATACATACATACATACATACATACATACATACATACATACATACATACATACATACATAGATACATACATACATGCATGGGCAGCATTTTACAAAACAAATCGTTACATGTTCCGTTACATTCCCATTAACAAATAAGTAGGGTAATATATTTCATTATTTATTTATTTTTTATCTTTTTAAGTATCAACTTTTTTTAATAACTTATTATGGTGAAAGGTATATAAGATTCGTCACAGCCGAATTTATTTTTTTTTTTTTTTTTTTTTAAAGATATAAATAATTACAACCAAATCTTTCAATTAAAATTATTAAAAAAAAAGAATTTGCACCTAAATTTTTTACATAGACATTCTTCATTCTAGCCAATGAAATGGCTAGAATGAAGAATGAAAAATTGTGTAAAATGATAAATATGAAGCACAACTTCATATAAATATGTATCTTTTCACTTTAATGGTTCGTTGGTTTAACAAAAAATCCAGTTCTAAGCTATGCAAATAATTTGCAAATTAATTATATTATAACTCTACGTTTACTCTTTTAGTATAAATCCTAATCCTGCAGCCTTAGGTCCACGATGGTTAGCATATGCGGAAAATAAACTTTTGCATTCAAAGCGTAGTGGAGGTGGCTGTGATGGAGATGGCGTAGCAAGTTATACAGCCACTGTACTGAATGCCTCAAAATCATTAGTAAAAGGCTTACGAGAGTTAGGAGAACAAGTCGCTGCTGGATTGACGGGCACTACTGGCAGTACAAGCAATTCTAAGAATACGTCCTTTGATTCCGGTTGTGGTCTTGAAACGAAACAATCTGGTATAGTTACCATTATAGATATAAAGGTATGAAAACAATATTAACTTTTCCACTAAACACACTATTATATAGTTTTAACAAATATTACTTAAACGTAGCATAATATTATGCTCAGGCGCGTTTTTATTGAAAAAAGTGTAATTAATTTGAAATTAAGTAAACTGTAGTAAACCTTTTTAACATATTTTTCTTATCCTTAGAATATTTGCTGTTTTTACATAAATAGAAATAATATAAAAAATATTAGGGTTTTGCTGCGGAATTATAGGTAGCTAAATGAAAATTGTGTTGATAATGTTTGTTATTCTAAAAACACTTTTGTATAACAACATAAATATTTTTAGTTTGCATTGAAAAATATTTTTTTTTTTTTTTTTTTTTTTTTTTTTATTTAATTTGTTATTATACAATTATAACTGATTTTATATAATAATAATAAATATAATTTTATATAATAATTTTTCTTATCAAATATTTTTTTCATTCGTTAAACATTTTTGTTAGACTTGTTTCTTATTGAAAATAAATTTTTATTAAATAATACTTAATCGTATTGATATCGTGAATATTAAAGATATTCCAATAAATTGGTACATAGCTTCTCCTTAGCATTATAATAAGGTATTAAAAGTCACCATAATTATATTGTGCGCTAAACGAGTTATTAGCACTCAAAGGTCACAAAAATGCGTTTGATGATATTACACCCTGCATAACAATTTTGAAAAAAGCTTTCACACATAGAAAAGTTGATATTTTATAATCAGCTTTTATATCCTTATAAAAGGACTTCAGAGTTTAAAGGATTACAATTTCAAACGAATATTTTAAATATTTATATGTATAGCCCAGAAAAATAAGGGTTTTGCTGCGGAATTTTAGATAGCTAAATGAAAATTGACACATAGCATCTCCATAGCATAAGTAAGGGATTAAAAGTAACCGAAAATATCATGCACGCTAAGTGAGATATGTCGCTTATTATGCGTCATACGCGTGATGATGTTATAATTTCTATAGAGTATTGATTTTCCTACATTTTGGTCGAGGAATATTTTCGCATATTAGTTGTTTTCGAGCTATAGTGCATTGTTTTTTCATTGCAAAGACATTTTCAAATCTTAATAACACCAATACAGATACTGTCGAATTTTTTCTTTCTCATATTAGTTAAAAGTACATAATTAATTTCTGTTGCACCCCTTATCACAGCATCACTCTCTGGCCCTTAGTGTAATGTCCGTCTATCCGAAATTTCCGATGGGGTCATAGGTTACTTTATGAATATATTTTGAAAAAATTTGGTCCACAATCTACGACATCAGGAAAATATTTCCACTAAATTTCATTGAAATCAGAATACGACTTCAGCTAGCTCTAATGTAGACAACCAACTTTAATTTGTATTGAAAATTCAAAAATTGTTACAAAATATTTAAAGATAAAGTCTTATCTTAATAAAATTTGGTGGGAATATTACTCTTAATATGTGAATTGTGACCCCCAATTTACTTCTAATTCTGATCATAAATATGACCTGTAATACTATCTGAAATTATGGATAGACAGCTATTGAACAAGTTATTCGACAAAAACAAATTTTTGTAACCTTTGACCCCCAATATCTCGCAAAACCACACAAGATATTTTCGGGGAATTTTTATTCCATACTAATTATGCTAAGGGGAAGCTATGTGCCAATTTTTATTTAGCTATCTGTAATTCCCCAGATTGCTCATTTTTTTGCCTAAATTTCCTGGGTAGGTAGTACTGTATAATGCCAATATTGGTATGGCATTATATCTGTACATTCTATCTATATCCTTTATTTGACTCCCTTAGACAAAAAAATCGAAAAAGAAATTAAATTTAAAAAAGTTCTCATTTACGAAACATTTTGAAGCAGAGGTTGCCATCTTCATCTTCATTTGATATTAATACCAAATTTTTTATATAAATTTGGAATTCCATATTTTGAAATCATATGTCCTTTGAACTTTAAAGTCACAGAGTTAATGCTAATGGTCCACAGTTTCCTGCACACATAGATTTGTCCATGTGTGAAAATGACTGTTAGACTGTAGACCGCTCAGTTGAATAGGTTCACTATTTTCTTTATATTCAAATACATTTGTTTGCAAAAACTAATAGAGAATTAGTTATATTAAAAATCTTTATAGGAAAATGATGTCTTTTACATATAAGACATTTTTTTATACCATAGGGCTTCAACAAGTCTTAAAATATTGACGTTTTCCAGAGCTTAACAAATAAAATAAACGCAAATTGCTTTTCGAAATCTATTATGGCTTGTTTGGCAGGGTTGTATTATAACACTGTTATTTATTTTTGAAAGTAGTATGCGATGTTTTGAAAAATGCATACCGAATGTGAGAATGTCATTAATTTGTAATACAATTATCTTATAACTTTCAGAATCCTCTGCGTGATTGCAGTCCCACTTCGGGTTTGTCAACATCTAACAATCAAACAGCGGGGACCGATTCAATTATAGCTCATTTTATAGCGCACTCGGAAGCATTGGTTGCAATGGAGTTCGATAATTCAGGAATGCTTTTAGTAACAGCTGATCGAAGAGGGCATGACTTTCACGTGTTTCGTATTCAACCGAATCCTGTCGGTTCCAGTCTTGCAGCCGTACATCATCTATATATATTACATCGTGGCGATACAAGTGCCAAAGTGCAAAACATAACGTTAACACTGGATTCGCGCTGGGTTGCTGTTTCAACACTTCGAGGCACAACCCATGTGTTTCCCATTACGCCATATGGAGGTGCTATGGGTGTAAGAACTCACACTTCTCTGCATGTGGTTAATAAATTATCTCGTTTTCATCGTTCAGCCGGCCTATCGGCTGAAGGACGCTCGAATTCCCCAATTTCACATTCGGAAAGTACAACATTCACCCAATCTCTGCAGCCTTATCACAATTCAACTTTACCGCCGTTTCCCCGCCCAACGGTAGTTATGCCGTTAGCTCAGTTGAGACAACCATTTGCTCTGGGATCTCCACCGGGGTCGTCAACTTTAGCAGGAGTTAAATCTGTTACAGGAAGCTCGGGATCAGGATCACAGCGTCAAAGATTATCCTCATTATCAGATGATAGCGGAAAGCCACTAAGTGTTTGTGCTATTTTTGCAAAATCACGATCGTGGCTTTTGGACCCCCCAAATGTTACTCGGGAAGCTCCACACCGTATACAGCGCAAAGCTGTAGATTCCTTGTTTATAATGGCCGGACACGGAGCTCTTATACAATACGATTTGGATACAAAACTTGCTTCAAGTACGAATATTTTTTAATGTGTATACATATATATGGTGATATAATCCTATAAAATAATTTTTATTTAGATGTTGCCAAAGATAAAATATGTGACGATACTCCCATTGAATTAGAAGTAGAAGCAAAAGCACAATGGAACTTGGGTAGGCGTAAAGAAGGGTCTCAGGAGATAATGCCCCCACTATCAGCAGATAATTGGTTAATTAAAAATCGCAATTCTTGCATGTTAACCGATAGCGCTCGCCAATACGATGACTCAGATGATCGGAGCGAATCTTGGCTAGCGCAGGTTGAAATTATAACACACGCTGGACCTCATAGACGTCTCTGGATGGGACCCCAATTTGTATTTAAGACTTATAACACACCAAGCGGGTAATTTGTTTATTTAATAAATAAAAATAAAAGTAAGTTTTTTTCATTGATAAATGTTTTAGGTCAAATTTAAGTCATGTCGAAATTGAAGCAGTAGAAATAGGTACATCAAAATCTAGCACTAATTCAACTTCCGAAAAAATTGATCATTCAAGCCCTTTGAATATGCCCTTAACTGCAACAAGTCGCTCTAGTGCTGTACCGGTTCTTATAGAATCTGGATCATACAGTAAGAAACTTTATTTGTTACGCTTTTAATTACATACATTTTATTTGATAATAAAAATTTTTTAAAAAATCTCCAGGCAGCATTGAACAAAGCCCCAAACTGATGGATCGTTTTCGTCACGATCATTTAGATTCTGACTTTTCCGTAGCTCATGGTGATTCTCGTTTAAAAGAAGACTTGGCCGATGCAATGCGCGAATCTCCTTCTGCAACCGCTTCCTCTAAAGACAGTGGTAAGTTTTAAGTAAGATCATAATTAGTTCTTATTTATATTGTATATGAGTTCTATATTTAGCTCATCTTTTTGTGTTATTGCTTTGTTCGTCAAATTTAATTGCTTATTATTTTTACTTAACTGTGTATAATTAATATATGTACATTATAATACCACAGCACTACCTTATAGCCAATACTGTCCTGATAGTAAAAAGGCTATTTTTAAGATCAATTTTGTGAAAAAACTTCCCGAACCGGAAGAAATTTTTGAAATGCTTTTGTTCGTTATTTTTACTAAAACTATTTTAATAATTCTCATATAAATGTATACTATTATATATGTATAATATGCAATATTATAGTGATTTATTAGAAATTTCATAACAGGGTTTTAAAGAGCAATATTCTCTTTAAGATAATGTAATAAAAATGCAATAATGTTAGAAAAAAAATTATTTTTCTCATTTAAAAAAATTAATTATACAAAACTTCATCTCCTTTGGTACGGGAACTTTTTCACGATCGCGAAAAAAAATAATATCATATTCCTTAACATCTGTTCACGCCCTACAAAGCCTTGCTATGGTATTTTTGATATTTGCAAAAATTGTCATACCCCTAATGTACATACTATATTAATGTATAAGAATAATTGATCACTTGTATAAATACGAGAAAAATAAAAAACAATTTTTTGGAGTAGGTCCTCACTACCCTACCTGCAATTGAAAATCTTGTTCTCAGTACCTGCAACCATTTCAAAATGGGTGTCAAAAATTCCGTAATTTTGAACTTATCGCGGGAAAAATAATTAAAATTTTTGTTAGTGTATTTCTGACCCGCAAAACTACTTTTAGTGTATTAAGATTTAAAAAAAATCCCAAAAAATTCTGAAATGGACTAAACCAAATGCCAAACTATTTTTTTTAATATTTTTCTGTACAAGCTAAAAATTACGACAATTTTGACACCTATTTCAATAAAAAGCGAAAATAATATGCTTCCCCAACCCACTAAAAATTATTTTTGGACTAAAATACTCTACAAAAATGTTAAGATTATTTTTCCCTTAATCAGCTGAAAAGTACGGAGACGTATTGCGAAAAAAACGAAGATATTTTGTTTTTCAAAACATATACTGAGGTCAGAATTTGCAATCGCTGGTAGGGAACTGAGGACCATTCAAAAACAAATATTTTTCTCGTATTTAGTGCATTAATACGTATCGACGATTGAGAAGAATTCCTACATGAAATTCTTAAAATGGCTATTTATCGGGGCACTCTAATATACAGCTTTAAGTCAGAAGCAGTAGGAACTAATGAAAATAGTAAGACAACTTATTAAAATATTAAGTTCAAGGCTTAGTGCCTATAAAAGTCGAGAATCTGCTTCGTTAGGGTTATGACTTTTTGATTCTTTTGGAAATATACTTTTTGCTAAGTAAAAAAATATTTGAACTCTACATAGAAATATAAACAACTAAAAAATAAAAATATAAACAATTAAAAGTGTATGACTTTTAGATATTTTTGCAAATATTGTATATTACATCCCCTATAAACTTGAACAATTTTTTATGGTATATTGATTTTTGCCTACAGTATAAAGTCACGTGATCATGTTACTAATTTTGCTATCGACTTTCTGGGATGTACTTTTCGTGAATGTAACTTTACGTACTTTACTTCGTTTTTTAAAAATTTTAAAATATGGGTTTCCACTCGATTTGTGCAATATTTTCAATGTTCTTCATTCATCACGTAATTTTCAGATTGACATATCGTTCGTCACCTGAAGGGCAAACGGCCTTATCTAACATTTTAAAATTTTTATAGGAGAAGCAAAAAACTATTTAAATTGGGAAGTTTGTTTCTATCAACGCAATTTATTGTTATTTAATAAACAAATTGTTTAATAGTGAAACCTATCATTTGTTATGGTAGTTGACAATGGCGTATAGCAAAAAAGATAAATTAGACTTTTACCTTTAATATTTAAATGCTTTTTTAGATATGGCCTTTTGTTAATAATATCGCAAATTTTGGATCGAGGAGTCCAATTTTGTTTGTGAACATTTGTTTTGATGCAATATATTAGAATCAACAATAAAATCGATTTTTGGTTAGTTAGGGCCGTTTGCGTTTCAGGTGACGCGTTACAGATTTACATACGTTATCAAATTTTTTTCATATTCGTATTTAAGTAGGGCGCTCAAGTCTGGAATAGTCTGTCTTTAGATCTTATGTGTCGATTATGGATGATATGGCACCAATCGAAGATCATGGTCAATAACATATTTTTCAAGCTTTCGCCTAAAACCGAGCCTTTAAACCTTTTATAAAATATTTTTTTTGAATAAGGAGGTTCATGAATCATAATAGATCTAGTACAGTGATGTACATGCATATATTTAAAATAAATCTATTTTGTTGTTGCGATGTTGTAAATAGTATTACATATTGATAATAGCGATTTCTACTCTTGGTAGTACTCTTGTAGGTTTGGTTATTATTGTAGCTATATTAGCGGTTTTCACTCTTGGTAGTTAAGTACCCTTGTAGGTTTGGTTAGTTTTATAAATAATACTATTTACATCAACGCAACAACAAAATGTATTTATTTTAAATATACATCGCTGTACTAAATCTACCAAGAATAAAGTTCTAGTATATAAGCGTGGTAGATTTACCAACAAAATAAATAGCTGATAGACTTACCTCATATAACATAAATTGAAAAATAAAAAATATAAATTTATAAAAAATAGAAAAGTGAAAAAAAGAAGTCAAAAATAGATGTTTTTGGAATATCTCAGGAACAAGAAATATCAAAAATAAAAAACGTGGTTGTTTATTTTGGACAAACTTTTTGGTTAATACTGCTGTTGAGTTGAAAATCTTTCGCGTGTATATTTCGGGTCGTCCCGCAGCGGAGATGCAATTGTCGTGGGATGGTCTAATGAAGTTTTTTGTTCATGGAATTTACAAATTTGGAGACAGAACGCATATACCTTTTTTGCTTAATACAACCATTCGGTACTCACGCTTTTATAAAAAAATTATAACCGCTAATATATTTACCATACTAATCAAACCTACAAAAGGGTACTTTACTACCAAGCGTGAAACGCTAGTATTTGTAGAAAATAATATAAAATAAATTCAGTAGTGAGAAATTTTACTCGGAAGAGTTTTATAGAAACCGAAATTTTTTTAAGGATCGGTCCGTAGTTGACCATACCCCCCATATAAAGCACCCTGAGATATGACTATAACGCTCATTACTGGCTTAAAAATAACTGTATGGCGATGAAATTCGACATAAACAAATTTGATGGAAACCGAAATCTTTCTACCAATTTTTATGATGATCGGTTCAAATTGAACTCTCTTATAAGGTACCTTGTTGAAATTATTTTTACGCTCATTACTGGATTAAAATTAACTGTATGGAGGTGAAGTTTTATGGGAACCGAAAGATCTGGGTCCATAATGGATCTATGATATCATTAAAGACCTTTGTTCATTTTAGTTATTAGTTAGTTAGTTTGAAAGGATGTATATACATTAAATCGAAAGAAAAGCACCTAGTCCTCTATCGGGCCTGTTGCGCGCTCCTTTACCAGTGCCTCAGGTGGGAATCGAACCCAGCACCTTCGGTCTACCAGATTAGAACACTAACCACTAACCTACCGGAGGCCATGTTCATATTAGTATCGATATTTTATAATACAATTCAGCATTAAATGAATACATGTATGAGCAAATTGTTGTAAACAATAAAAAATAGTTGATTTATAAATATATAAATCCATATTTAGTCCCAACTTTTGAAATACACTTAAATTTTACGAGATATAATTTGATGGTGAGAAATTTTATATCTCTTCATCTATAATAAAAAACTTGAATAAGGAATTATTATAGGAAGTCGGAAGCTTAAAAGAAAAAGTGTATGCACACTTTTTCTTTGTCTTATTTTGAAGTCGTTGAAACCTTGAAGAGAAACTACCACTGAATTAAAATTTTTAAGCGCTTTAATGCTCCATTTTTATACCTTTCGTCTTCTTGAGAAGGGAATACACATATAAGTTTGTCATTCCGTTTGTAATTTCTATAATATAATTTTCCGACCCTATACTGCATATGAGCAAAATCAAAAAATTTTAAGAATTAGATAAAAATTTTTTTCGACATTTTTTTTCCTCTGACAAGAACCATATTCAGTAGTTGAGTTGGATAATAATTACACATGATAAATATGAAAACTTTAATTATTTTGATTGATGCGCGCAAAAGTTATAGCGGTTTAAAATAATAAAATTTAAAAAATCGTTAAAATTACGGGTTAAGCTATTTTCCAATAAAGTAAGTACCCATTAGTAAACATTTATAGGGACTATCAGCGCATATTAAAATAGTTATCGCAAATTTCATATTTCAGAAAATACACTGATAATTAAAAATAAAAATTACTTAAATTTTTTTGCAATTTCTTTCCAAACTCAAAATTTTGCTAATAAAAAATATCAAAAAAATTGTTCTAAAATTAGAGATGATTTTCAATGCATTGCAAAATAAACTAAGTTAATATCTCAGTCGGTTTGAAAAATATAGGAATTTGAAGTTTTAGGTCGTAAAATTGTATATCCTTAAAATATTTTAATGCGCACCGGGTTTTTGGCATAATGCAAAAAGAAAGCTTTTATTTGACACTAATATTTACGCAATTCATTTGGCGCTATAGTTGTCTGAAAGCAAAATGTTTTTTCAGATAAATGCTGCTAGGACCGCTATAAATGAAGAAATTTTATTTTTCTTTCGCAAAATTTTGGTTACATTTGTTTACAACCGTATATATTTGCACCTAAAAGTACTAATGAAATTATTATAAGGATTTTTAGATGTCCAAAGTGTTTATAAAGGATGGCTCTGTAAGTTACGAACTAAGAGTACAGTTTTGAAATTTATGAAAAAAACTATGGTAAATTTTAAAGCATTTTTTTTCGTTTTTA